CAGCAAAAAAAATGTGACAATGAATATATGTATGTTCGTGTATAACTGAAAAATTGTTCTCTACACTGGAATTTGACACAACATTGTAAAATGACTGTAACTCAATAAAAAAAGTAAAATAAAATAAAATAAGGAATGTTTCTAGGTACGTTTTGACAATTACAGAGTCTTAACTCATCGGCAACCAAATATACCTGTAGCTGAAGAGACATATCTTGTCAAGACTGCTTGATGATTTGAAAAGGAAAAAAAAAGTTAAAAAGAAATTCTAAGACATCCTATTGCTATTATGTGGCAACTGCTGCAAAATAAGCTACTAGAAAGCAGCAAAATGACTAAACTGCCAAAAATGTTTCCATACTTTGGCAAATTTAATTTTTAAAACAATCTCAGTACCTCCAGAAGATAAGTTAGTGATTTTGAAAGTGTTTTCTAAAATATTTTATGATAAATGTTTTGAGTTTACAATGTCAATAACTAAAATATCTCTTTGAGGGGAGAAGAATCAGATTAAGTTATTTATTTATTTAAATGGAGGTACTGGGGATTGAACCCAGGACCTCGTGCATGCTAGGCACGCACTCTACCACTGAGCTCTACCCTCCTCCCTATAATTAACTTTAAAAAGTTATTTAATAACATTTGAGTTATTTATTTCTCAAGCCACTTGGAATAAGGTACACATTTACCTAGGCTTTAGAAAAAGTTATATTCAAACTTGATATTTAAGTTACTAAAAAGCTAAAAGTCCTCAGCACATTTTTATACAAAGTAAAATTCAAATAAATTGTACAAAGACAACCTAGAAGGAAAAGAAAAATAGGTCTCGGAAGGAAGTGTGTGTACCCTGACAAGAAAATGAGAAAATGTGAATGATCTTATTTCCCTTTTTGAATTCAGATTTAGATCCAAATTTCCTATGGCTCATGTAGCTGCTTCCTAACCTGATCCCCCACCCTGATCTATCTGCACAACTTTCCAAGTCCTGATTTGCATCTGTCTTTTGTACTATGTGTCCTCTCCTAAAGCATCTCAGTTGAGAAATAGGTAGTTATTGTGTGTATTTCACGTCTACTTGCATCTTCTTAATATTAAAAAAAAAAATCCCTAAAGTCAACTCACACATGATATACACAGAAGCAATATCATGTAAGGATTAAGGGCAAGGGCTCTAGAAGATTCCAATCAGTTCTGCCCCTTTATCATACGATGTCAACTAAACTTAATCTTGAAGACTCATTCATCCTTTTTCGTCAGGTAAACAAGGTAAATTAAAGAATTCAAAACCCTCAAAACAGAGCCTGTTGGTTTGCTCTGCAAGGCAATAAATAATAAATGACTACTATGTTCACATAACATGTTAACATGATGTTATGTTTAAACTTGGTGATCAAAAACGCCTGTGTACTAATCAGCTGTTATGTTTATGTTTAAAGTGTTCAGTGATAAAAAGGTGAAACAGCGTAGGCAGCGGGCAGGTCCTGAAGGGTGAATGGTATCTGAGGATGTGCAGAGAAGCCAAACCACACAGTTCCTACAGTAGAGAATTAACCTCATCAGTGCAGTCTGAGTACAGGGCACAAGGTGTGGAGGTTTGGAATAGCCTATGGCAGAGGGAAATCAGACATGCTCCCTCCCCTCCCAGAATTCTCCAGCCTAGGAAGACAAAGCGCTAATATATCATTATCGTCCCCATCATGCTAAACAATCTTTGTGATGAGGGGCCAATATGAGTTGGCAGATGATGGATATTCTCCGCACAGGCAGGGGAGGCAGGTTTGGGCAGGAACGAACCAGACAGGAAGCAAAAGCTGACACCAGGTGTGCAGGACTCGGATGTTAACTAACAGCTCCCTTGTGAGCAGTGGCAACAGACAGACAGTAAAGGGACACAAATGTTGTTCTCAAACCCACAGCTGTTACTGCCTCTAACCCAGACCGAGAAGGGGTGGAAGGAGGCATGTTATTGGCATCAGCTATATTACAAACTTGCCTCGCATCTTCTCAAAAAGTGAACAGACTTAGCATGATTCACGTATGACGCATGTGGAGATTTAAAAAAAAACGAGTACATTAGAGAAATAAAGTAAAAAAGGATGGAACTCTCTTATCTTTAGTCTAGAAAGCATGAATCACCAATCAATCTAGGTGACTTCCTTCAATGAAGATATATTCCAGATCTTTCCCCTTCAAGATGGAGAAACTGAATTTTTGGAGCTGTATTTGGATTGCTTCGTTGATAAAAGGACAAGTTAAAATCAATGTCTAACAATTTACGAAACAGTTACAGTGTGAAAGACTGTTGGGAGGAAAAAAAGTGAAATATATATAAAAGCCTTTTCACTTCATAACTTGTGGTATGTTTTACCTCTGAAAAGAAGTCGATTAAGTGGAAATAAAATTCAATCCTATGCATTATTAAGCAACTTTTATAAAACGTTTGTGTGACACTAAGTCTTATTTTAGGCCAAAAAAAAAAAAAAAACACCTTGCAGATCTCATTTATCTATAATAACATTAATCTTCTTGGATAATCCAAAGTTAGATTGTTATAACTAACAATAAAATAATAGGTGCAAAATCTTCCACAAGTATTTATGCATGTCTTTATGTTGCTCAACTATATAACCTATTATATGTTTCTTTTTTAAAAGATACTAAACATGTAAATAATATTAACACAGAAAAATATCTAGGATATGAAGCCATCTTAACTAAGGGCTACCTAGAGATAGCACTCAGACTGTCCACAAACTCACTCAGCACTACTTTTGAATATTTCTACTGCTTGTTCTTTCAAATTTTTACTGAAATGCAGCTTCAAGAGTTGAATATGTCAAGGCATAGTTTTAGAACTTCACAGTTCTTTAAGAACAATGCCATTAGCAACAAAGTGTATCAATGTCCTCGGCTCAACTAGGAGTTTCAACATCTCTGCTACTGCATGTAAAATGATAACCAAACTTGTTTCACTTTATACAGTATTTGTTGATATCGATGTACTTATCCACAAGGTGACTTACTTGTTTTATCTTTAGCAAACTACTTATTTTATGTAGCCACTTAAATAAATAAATATTAACCTTTTATTAGAACCATTCATTACACAAATACTTAACTGAGCGTATTTATTCAGTATTTGCAGAGTGAAAAGCATTTAAGTTGAATATGTCCACCAGAGAGAAATGGTCCCGGCCCTCCCGGAGCTTACAAAGTGTACAGAGGTATGTATGTGTCAGCACAGAGGCACCCCCAACCCATGCTTCAGGACTAGGATCCACAAAAACTCGACTATAGTCCCAGTATTCGCGCTACGTAGCTGTGTACCTTGGGGAGCTCTCTTCACCAATCCCTCTAAACCTCAGCTGCCTGATCCCGTAAACTGTAGGTTTGAACCAGGTAGTCACATCCTTCCCAGTTCTAAAACAGTCTGAAACTCAAGCAGTTCGCGGTCGGTGACAAGAGCGTCTCATTCCAGTGTGTGCTGTCAGAATCTAGCAAAGTTGTACGCTGGATGCATGAAACAGAGCGAGGACCCAACTCCCGCTGCGGAAGATTCTCTTAAGTCCCTTCTTGTTCTTCAACCAGCTCTGCAGGGCATCTCTAGCAAGACCGGTGTACCTGCGGTGCTGAAGCAGAAACGGCGCAACACCCTCCCCTCCCTGCGGCCTCTTTTCTCACTCTCCGGCCAGAGAGAACCCGGCGATCGGCCGGCCTCCTCCGCGACGCGAAGCCACGCTCGCGCACACGGCACCAGCCGGCCAGTGGCCTCCGGTCGGCTGGGCC